TCCCAAAACCAGTCCAACTCGTCCCTGCCTCCCTAACCTGTTCTTCCTCCCACCTATCCCCTCCTCCCACCCCAAGCCGCACCTCCATCTCCTACCGACCAACCTCATCCCGCCCCCTTGACCTGTCCGTCCTCCCTGGACTGACCTATCCCCTTCCTAACTCCCTACCTACACTCACCTTTCCTGGCCCCATCCCCGCCTCTTCGACCTGTTTGTTTCCTCTCCACCTATCCTCTCCTCTATCCCTCTTCTATCCGCCTCCCACTCTCTCCCTATTTATTTCAAAACCCCCTTCCCCTCCCCCTTTTCTGATGAAGGGTCTAGGCCCGAAACGTCAGCCTCTCTGCTCCTATGATGCTGCTTGGCCTGTTGTGTTCATCCAGCCCTGCACCTTGTAGTCTCGGATTCTCCAGCATCTGCAGTTCCTACTATCTCTGATAAGGTTTAGAGGGATATGGGCCAATGCAGGCAAATGGGACTAATTTATTTTGGGAAACTTGGTTGGCATGGATGAGTTGGCTCAAAAGGTTTATTACCATGCTGTGCGTGTGTATGACTTTATGCCCATCTTTCTCACTATATTGGCATCCTTTCCCCTTGCTTTATTGTCCTTGATAATCAGATTCACTGGTCTATAATTCCCTATTTTCTGTCTCCCTTCTTTTCTAAATACTGGAATCATATCATCTACCCTCCAATCTGTTGGAACTGTTCCAGAATCTAAGATGACCACCAATGCATCCATTATTTCTAGGTCCACTTCCTTAGGTACTCTGGAATGTAAATTATCAGGCCCTGGGGATTTATCAGCCTTCAATTCCACCAATTCCTCCAACACTACTTCTCTACTAACACAGGTTTTTTTCAGTTCCTCCCTGTGTTCACCATCATTTCTAGTACATTATGTGTGTCCTCCTTTGTGAAGACAGAAGTGAAGTATGAATTTAGTTTGTTAGCCATTTCTTTGTTCCCCATTTATAAATTCTCCTGTCTCTGGCTGTAAAGAACCTACATTGTCACCATTTGTTTTCTTTTCACGTACCCATAGAAACTTTTACTGTCAGTTCTTATGCCCCTGACATGATTATTCTCATACTCTGTATTCCTTTTCTTAACCAATGCCTTGCTCCTCTTTTGCTGACTTCTAAGCAGTTCCCAATCCTGAGGTCTGTTGTTTTTTTCTTGCCAATCTGCCTCCATCTTTTTTGCATCTAATGCTATTTCTAACTTCCCTCATAAGCCATCATTTGGTCACTGTTCCCTTTACACTCCTGTGCCAGACAGGAATGAACCATTTTTAGTCACCCATTTGCTCTTTGAATGTTTTCCACTGCCTATCCACAGTTATTCCTTTCAGTAACATTTCCCAATCTATCTTAGCCAACTCATGCCTCATACCATCATGGCTTCCCTTATTAAGAGTCAGGACCCTAGTCTCAGAAGCAACGACCTCACCCTTCATCTTGATGAAGAATTCTACCATATTATGCTCGCTCATCCCTGAGGGGTCTCTGAATTACATTACCAAACTTTCCTTTCTCACTGCATAATACCCAGGTTAAGATAGCTTGCTCTCCAGTTGGTTCCTCAACATATTGGTCCAAAAAACCATCCTGTCTACACTTTGGGAATTCCTCCTTTACAGTATTGTGCTTAATTTGATTTGCCCAATCTAAATGGAGATTAAAGTCACTACAGATGTTGTTATACCACATGCATCTCTGGTTTCCTGTTGAATGCTATTTCCAACATCACCACTACAGTTTGGTGGTCTATATACCACCCACACTAATGTTTTTTGCTACTCGGTATTTTTCAGTTCTATCCGTACAGATTCTACATTTTTCTGAGTTAATACATTTCTTCAGTATTATGTTTATATCTTCCTTAACCAGTAATGCAACTCCACCACCTTTTCCTTTCAGTATATCCTTATTAAATGCTGATTACCCCTGGATGTTCAGTTCCCATCCCTAATCACCCTGCAGCCAGGTCTCTATATCATCTCCATTAATTCATCCACTTTATTTCAAATGCTCAGGCACAAAGCCTAAAGGCTTGTCTTTTTAACTTCATCTGCCAATCTTCTGGCTTCTCACTTAACCAGCCCATGTCACTTTGCAGACTCCTTACAACTTATTTCCCAACCTATATATTTTGGGACTATTAACTGGACTTTAACTCCTCTAGGTACTCCAGTAGGATTTGAACCCACATCACCAGTGCATCAGCTGGGGCTCTGAGACACTAGACCAGTAACATTACCACCATGCCAGCAGAATCCCTATGTGCTTTGGACACTTACGCTCTCCAAACACAGGAATGATCAGTAGTTTCAATTATATTTCAAATAGTAAGAAAGTCTATATGAGGCTTTAAGTACTATTTATTATTGGCTACTTTGTCAGTTGAGAATTCCTGCTACTGTATGGTATGCCAGAAACTGCATCAAAGATTTTGTGATGTGAATGTTTACTGTTGCCAGTGTTCTTAGTTGAGGAAATGAAAAAAAGTTGAGGATTTTTTTCCAAAATGTTTTTCAGCAGATTATTTTGTTCCTAAAGCCATTCCGATTAAATACAATTACTTCCTGGGTCTTAAATGACATTCTGCTTGCATCCGAGACATACAATGTCAATTTACTTCAAAGAATTTTGAAAATACACCTCAGAAGCTCCAAGGGCTATTGGCTCTCCTATGGAAACCAGGAGAAACCAATGAAGACTACCATGGATTGTCGCATCACATTGTAATTAGAGATCTTTTGGGTAATTTTGTCAAAATGGGCAATATTCTGTTTTATGTCGCTCCTCAAGTTTGTTACAGTTGACTTTGCAAAAACAGAACTGCAATATCTTACTAAAAATGGAAACTTAATCTGTCCTTTGACCCAAAAGGATCGAAGCAAAGTTTTCACCTTTTAATCTCAACAAAATCATGTAGGATCTATGATGCAGCTAATTTGTATATGTCATCTTAGTTCTTCCCACTCCCTAATGTGATCTGTTTAGATGGATATGGGCAAAATACAGGCAAATGAGACTAGTTTAGTTTGGGAAACTTGATTGATGCGGACAAGTTGGACTGAAGGGTGTGTTTCCATGTTATCTGACTCTATGACTCAATTTGAGATGAAAGAATAGCATTCTTATTTATTAGACACAAGCTGAAGTTGGCTGTCAATATACTGAGAAATAATTATAGTTGAAAGTGAGATCTAAACATTTCCTAGGAAGTCATGTGTGAATGATGATCATCCTCAACACTTGGGACACTCTCACACCTTGCCAGAAAACATTCTATTTATAGTCATACAATAAACAAATTGATATTTTAGTAACATTCCAAGTGACAAAATATTCCAAAAACCTTCCTGTGTGGTTCATCTCTCCAAAGTTGACTAACCTGCCTGTCAAAATCTTGCTTTATTTCTTTGACAAAATAGTTCTATTGGCTGTAAGTTCACATTGAAATACTGATAAATCAAAGTTACAGCAGGATGGCTGTCTGGCATATGTGCAACATCAATAAAGTGATTAATAATGTAATTTTATGCTGCAATTTCAAGGTAATTTACTGTGTTTTGGCAGGATGTCAGAATTGACTTGCATGGGTATTACACTACGATGTCATGAAGAATGAGACTAGAAGTGATTTGAGCTCAGAATCTGGAAAAGTGTATCTGTTTATGTCAGAAATATTGACAATAAAGACAGATAGAACTGCCACAATAAAAGGAGGTAGAAACGTTAAAATCTTTATTTTGCAGTTGGTATTCATTTAGTTACTGTTCACATGTGCTGTATGGAATTTCATTTATTCTTTTCACATCCATAATGAGAAAAGAACATTGAGAAATCAGTCAGTTTGCTCTTTAATTCTGATTTATTCCATTGCACTGAATGCTATTTTTACTATGCAGGAATTTTTTTTGGTGACATATTTTCAATGAAACATTCTGTTCTTGTCATGCGAGAAGACCACATTTTATTTTCCAATAAAATCTCTCCCTCCCTCATTTGAAAATCTTGGACTTTTTATTTCCCTTTAGCTCAATGTAAAACAAACTGGTCATAATTGGCAGTGTTTAGTGTCAGGGAGAGGAAAAGAAAATGGAAGAATGAACAACAGAATCCATTGTACATGACCCCTTCAATCAACAACGAAATGGATGAATAGAGGGGGAGAAATTTGTTCCTGGTTAAATAAAGGTGGGACAAAGCCCCTGGAATTTGTCTGAGGTAAGAGTCAATAACCAGCCCTTTTCATAAATTTTATTCTGCTTGAGGTGTGAGTAAATTGGGCTTAATCGTCATTTCAGTGTGTTCTGGAGACACTAATTTGAGCAACATCATGTGATAGAGGGCAGTTAGGGGTTAGGTATCATAATGGGATAACTTCATGAGACCAACTGACATATTCTTGTGTCCAAGTTATTTTTTAACATTCCCGTAAGGTAGTGTTTGATAGCATATGGTTTTAATTCATCTAACTACCAGTAAATTCCACAATTCTTAAATCTCAACAACATAATATCCTAGTTGGAATCATCTGTCCAGCCTTGTTCAAAGTTATTGAGGCAAAATCTGTGTAGTGCAGATGTGTTTTCTTCTCCCTTTCTTCAATCTATTAATATATGAAGGTCCAATGGGCAGAAAAAGAACTATTCTTGTTTTTCACCTTTAAAGATACACCATTCAAAGCTTAATATTTTCTATGGCACCCTGCTCCATGATCACTATTCACTATTAAATTATCCCTTGGAAACAACTGCCACATTAAAATAGTTCTGTATTTCTGAATTAATCACTCCATACTGATGGACACGTTAAATAGACTATATATACTTCATGTAGTGGTCTTGTGATGCAGTGGCTATCCATACCTGTCTCTGAGTAATCAGTCCTGGATTCAAGATTCACTCCAGCTCAAGTCAGGTGCATTCATAATGTTGTCAAACAGGTTGAATATCAACCCACCTCAAAGGTAAGAGATTTCTGATCAACCACATGTTGGAAATAAAGTTGCAGCTTCTCTTGTCACTATTCTTGGCTACAATATGCATGTAAAAGTGGATTTTGTTGTACCAACTTGGACTCCTTGGAGTGCTGGTTGGCTAGACAGCCAGTAAGGATCATATTGGTGACAACAGCATGGATTTGATCCCTGTTCCAGCTGAGGAAGATTTGGGATCCACCTCCTTGCCCCACTCATGGTTTGGGTAATGGTACTGTGGGTTGAACCTATCTTCAATCAGAGAACTCATGAGAATCCATGAAGAATTGGTCTCTGGTATAAGGGAAATCTAGCACTGAGGACTGTTTGGAATTGGGGCTGACTGTATACAGTTATGTTGAGGGTCCTCTTTTAGTGCAGTTGTAGTGCCCCTATCCCTGGACTAAGAGACCTAGGTCCATGAGCCACCTGTTCCAGAGGTGTGTAATAACATCTCTGAACAGGTTGATTAGAAAAATAGTGGACAGTTATGTGAGTGACAATGGGACAATGAGTTGGCTAGATCTTCGCAGAACATGACTGAAGCAGTTTATGTCTGTTGGTTTTGTGTTGATCTGGTAAACATTTTGCTTAATATCTTAGCAATAACTGTCCTCTTAGTATTATTAATGTGAAGATGAGAGCTAACGTAAATAAAAGAACAAATAAATTCATTAAAAAAAAACTCAGGCTTCAGGCGAATGAGATTTTCTTTAAAAATACTTGTCATAAAGTGGTCAAAGGCAAATTGAACTCTGAACTCTATCCTATTTTATAGTTAGTATCTGTAAGAACAGTTGAGCAAGAAGGTGACTTGATTGTGTTATTTTAATTAATTTTTGGTGAAAGTTTGCATATATTTATTTACTGTATTAGCTACATCTTAAGCATTACCTGAATAGATATTAAATCTGGAACAAGCCTTAGAAAATGTGATCGGATTCTATCGCCAGTCCTTGCTGTCCTAGTTAATAAATAATTGATCCATTAATAATGCCAACTTTATGCTATCTCTAAAAATGGAATCCATATGTGATTCTTTGCTTGGCTAATGAAAATTAGACGGCTAATACCTCGAATGGGTGGGTTGTTTCATGAGGAAAGATTGTACAAGCTAGGCTTGTATACTTTGTAATTTAATAGATTAAGAGGCTACTTGATCAGAACACACAAGAGAGGTCTTGACACGTTGAATGTAGAGAGATGTCTCCTGTTATGGGAGAATTAAAGTGTGACTGTTTAAAAATCAATGATCACCCAACCAAAACAGAGATGAAGTGAATTTTTTACTTGTAGCCAGCCATGAGTTTTTGGTACTTCCTTCCACAAAAAGTTGGTGGAAGCACAGCTCTTGATATTTTTAAGGCAGAAGTAGATAGTTTCTTGTTAAGCTAGGGATGAACGATTATAGATGTGGATTTGAGGTTAAAATCAGATAAGCCATTATCCTATTAAATGGCAGAAGGCAGAGAGTGGGGATAAAGGAGTCTTTTTCAAGATGGCAGCCAGTGACTAGTGAAGTTCTACAAGGCTCCATTTTGGGACCTGAACTACTCACGTTATAGATTAACGATGTGGATGAAGGAGCTGAGAGCATTGTACTAATTTTTCAGGTAAGATGGCTGAAGGGACAGGTAACGTTGAGGAGGCAGGGAGGCTGCAGAAGGAATTGGACAGGCTAGGAGAGTGGGCAAAGAAATGCCAGATGGAATACAATGTGGGATATTATGAGGTTATGCACTTTGGTAGGAGAAATAGTGGTATAGACAATTTCCAAACAAGGAAAGGCTTCAGAGATTTGAAGGACAAAGCGACTTGGGAGTCCTAATTCAGGATTCTCTTAAGGTTTAACATGCAGGTTCAGTTGGCAGTTAAGAAGGCTAATGCAATGTTAGCATTCATTTGAGAGGGCTAGAATACAAAAGTAGGGATGTACTGCTGAGGCTGTATAAGGATCTGGTCAGACCACGTTTGGAATATTGTGAGAACTTTTGAGCCCCAAATCTAAAGAAGGATGTGCTGGCCCTGGACAGGTCCAGAGGGGATTTACAAGAATGATCATATGAGAAGCAGTTGAGGTTTCTTGGTCAGTACTCGATCGAATTTGAAGGATGAGGGGATTCTGATTGAAATTACAGAATACTGAGAGGCCTGGATAGAGTGGATATGGAAATGATATTCCCACTAGTAGGAGAGACTAGGACCTGAGGGCACAGCTTCTTAGAGAAGAGAGAAAACTTAAGAACTGAAATGAGTAATTTCTTCAGCCTGAGGAACTCCTTGGCACAAAGGGCTGCAGAGGCCAAGTCATTGAGTGTATTTAAGACAGAGATAAATAGGCTGTTGATTAGTAAGGGGATCAAGGATCACGGGGAGAAGGCAGGAGGATGGGGCTGAGAAACATATCAGTCATGATTAAATGGTGGAGCAGACTTAATGTTTGGAACAACCTAATTCTGCTCCCATATCTTACGGTCTTATTTTCTGGTACCACAATTGCAATGACAGTGCATTCTGGTATTGTTTTCTGCTGATTCCTTTGAGTGAATGTCACTATTAACAAATTTGTTTCTTTTTTAGCTTGTTGGATCTAGTTTCGCACAGTCTGATGTTTTACATTAACACTGTACTGAGTCCTGGAAAATGTAATCAAGAGATAAACTTTCAGCTTAATTTGGAATACGGTACCAATTAAAACTTTGGCAGCTATCCCACATAAATTAAATAGCTACTGGATTTCTGCCTGTACTACCAGGCGACCTTCTTTAAATTGCAAATTGAGAGGTGAAATATTACACCTTCCTCTATACAAATATTGCATATTCCTTATAAAATAGTGGTCAGTCATGAGGAAGAGGAAAGCAGTTGTAATTATGGAATGAATAACTTTTATCCTGCCAAAGGTAACATTTTTCTCCACACTGCAAAGACAGTGGGTGTATTGAAATTCTGTTTTCAACAAAGTCTACCAGAGGTTAGCAAGGAGCAGAAAGAATCAAACCAGTTCCATTGAGGTTAGTTCATTCAAAACCAAACTTTGCTTTACTTTGACCATCATAATGCTATTATTATTTTACCTGGATTGAATCAAACGATTGGGAGATTAAAAAACTTTTTACTAATGACAGCTATATTGTAGTAGACCATTTCAAAACAGGTAATTTGATAGTTTGGATTAGGCCGTGGAATTATGAGGAGAGAAAGGGGAATTTTTACATTGAACAAGAAGAGCCTTGAAAGTGATCTTAGGCCCAAAAAGGCATGGAGAAAATAAGCATTAGTATGGTTAGCATAGACACAGGCCCTATGAAGAGAGGATATAGCGTTAGGATCTAACAATAGTTCAAATTCAAATACAGTTCAAATTCAATTACCTGATGCTGGGACTCAGGAATGAACTTCAGTGGACTGCCATATCTGCTAAATCATCAAATTCAGGGGAAAGAATTGACTAAGTTCTTAGAATAGTATGATGGGCACTGCAGGATATATTTTGGTGACACTGTGACCAGTAAGATGGTCCCAGTTGTCTTCCTTTGGCCTGTAGTGGTGAACTGCATATCACACAGATACAACATTCTCAATGCTGACGCTACACTAATGCTCTATTTACTAAATGACCCTTTTGTTGGTCCTGGGCCACATTGACTTCTCCAGAGAGCACATACTAAATAGTTCACCTCTAGATCCTGATAAAGATGAAAACTGAAAGTAGTGTGTCTTTATATACACAGGAGGCATGCCGGGAATTAATCGTTGTGAACCTATTGCATTTATTTAGTAATGTCGCATGTATATCTAGTAATGGCAATGCAATTTTTGAGGTAATGCGATTTTTGTTTACTTGTTCCTGGATGACTGATAGATAATTAATGAGTAGAAACATATTTGATTTCCTTGAATGAAAATGGACAAGTTCTATTGGGCATGTAATGCACTTCACAAGATTCCCAATGACATGGTCATCGTTGTGTGGGAGTTCCATTAAGCCTGAAATGGTCTCATGTGGAGGAGGATGGCCACGGCATCAATTCACTCAGATATTTCAATCAAGCACTTTGGACTGAAGCTATTTTTTTTGCCAAAGTCCAAGCTACGTTGAGTTTTCTTCTGTCACAAGACTCGTCAAGTTTTCTTGTCATTTCTGTCCAAAGTTGCAGTATTAACTACCCATCTAATCCCACCCCCTACAATGTCTGTTAGAATCATAGAATCCCTACAGTGCAGAAGCAGGCCATTTGGCCCA